CAGAGGAGACAGAACTGAGGGGCTGTAGTTGGTGGGTGCTCCTAGGATTTGGAGACTGCCAGCCAGGGGGAGGGACCAGGGGAGGTTGGCTGTGGGAGCACACTGACTCCCAGGAGCAGCTCCTACATTGAGCATCTGCTCCCTGGTGGACAGTGTACATCATAGTGACTGGTTGACTGGTTGTTCTAGTCATTTAGTCCCAAAGGTCACTTAGGCTTTTATATATATAGATTAGAGGCCCGGTGCACAAAATTCATGCATTGGGGGGGGGGGGGGTGCAGGAGAGTCCCGCAGCCTGCTTGCACCCTCTCCAATCTGGATCCCCTCGGAGCTTGTCTGACTGCTGGTTTAGTCCCAATCCCGCAAAATTGGGCCTAAACCAGCAGTGGGACATCCCTCTCACAATCCGGGACTGCTGGCTCCTAATCGCTCACTAGCCTGCCTGCCTGCCTGATCGTCCCTAACCACTCTACCTGCCTGCCTGATCACCCCTAACCACTCGCTTGCCTGCCTGATCAACACCTAACTGTTCCTCTGCCAGCCCAATTGCCCCTAACTGCCCTCCCCTGCAGGCCTGGTCATCCCCAACTGCCCTCCCCTGCAGGCCTGATCACCCCCAACTGCCCTCCCCTGCAGGCCTGCTTCCCCCTCCCCCAGCAACTGTCCTCCCCTGAAGGCCTGGTTGCCCCCAACTTCCCTCCCCTGCTGGCCTGGTCACCCTTAACTGCCCTTTCTTGTCAGCCTGGTCGCCCCCACCTACCCTCCCCTGCCAGTCTGCTTCTCCACCCCACTCTCCTCTTCTACCAGACCGGTCACCCCTAACTGCCCTCCCCTGCTGGTCTAATCACCCACAACTGGCCTCCCCTGCTGGCCATCTTGTGGTGGCCATCTTTGTCCACATGGGGGTGGCTATCTTGTGTGTTGGAGTGATGTTCAATTTGCATATTACCTCTTTAATTATAGGACTAGAGGCCCAGTGCATGAAATTCATGCATGGGAGGGGGGTGTCCCTCAGCCCGGCCTGCACTCTCTCTAACCCGGGACCCCTCAGGGGATGTCCGACTGCCAGGATTAGGCCTAGACTGGCAGTCAGACATCGCTCTCATAATCCAGGACCACTGGCTCCTAACCACTCATCTGCCTGTTGGCCAGATCCTCCTAACTGCTCTCCCCTGCAAACTTGATCCCCCTAATCTCTCTCCCCTGCCAGCCTGATCACCCTTAACTGCTTTTGCCTTGGCCTCGCCACCATGGCTTTGTCTGGAAGGATGTCCAGTCAAATTAGCATATTACCCTTTTATTAGTATAGAAGATAGAGGCCTGGTGGGGCCAGCTGGTATGTCCTGAAGGGAGTCCTTGATCAGGGTTGGGATCCCAGATCAGGGTGGGGATTCCCTTGGGGGACGGGGACAGCCTGGGCAAGGGGCTGCCAAGGGATTGCAGGCCAGCTACATCCCCATCAGGGTGGGGGTCCCACTGGAGGGCAGGCGGCCTGGGAGAGGGGCTGAAGACTGTTTGCAGGCCATCCACACCCCCATTGGGATGGGAGTCTCTGCGGTGGAGCGAGCAGCCTAGGTGAGGGGTCTGGGGCTGTCTGTAGGCTGGACAGCCCCCTGATGGGGTGGGAGTCCCTGCTAGGGGAGGAACAGAATGGACTGGGGGTGGTTTGCAGGCCAGACAAGCCCCAGGCTTTGTCCACAAGGATGTCTGGAAGGTCTCCGGAAGGTCTCCCAGTCTAATTAGCATATTACTCTTTTATTAGTATACTTATACCACCGGGGAAACTGGGTGCAGGGTGTATAGGATCTCCTTATATACTTTTCTGCAAATTCATGTGATTCTATAATTATTTCAAAAACAAAACAACACATTCTAGATCTCATGTCCTGGTCATGCCCAGCTTGAACACATCCTTAACCTGCTCCTGAAACCCTTCCCACTGCCAATCATAAATTACAAGCTTTCTTCAAAATCCGAAAGATAATCAATTCTTAAAATGTTAAAATCTGAGAAGCAATATAAAGAGATTAGAAGCTTGGTACATGAAATTCGTGCACGGGTAGGGTCCCTAGGCCTGGCTGGCAATCAGGACAGATCAGGGCCTTCCTTTTCTGGCTGCCAATGGCTGGGCAGGGCTTTCCTTTGTTCAGCGTTGGGATCAGCATGGTGGTCAGCATATGGCATAGCAAGCGGTAGAACTCCTGGTAGGTCGAACTCCCAGGGGGACGATTTGCCTATTAGCCACATATCATATAGGATCTTTACATCTCTTGCAAATAAATGCCTCTCTTTTTAAATCCCTTGGCTTCCTACAGTCCCTAACACCTATCCCCAAGGGGAGATATGAATGTTCTGCTGGCTTTGTGTTCCAGGTCCAGGTCCATAATCAAAGCAGGTGAGGGGCAGCCACTAGGGAGCACATCCATTTGGGACTGCTGAAGCTGAGCTGGACAGAGAGTGGCTCACACTCACCCCCACACCACTCCTCTCTGGTCTTCAGAGCCTAAGGAACAACAGGGGCCTGGTAACTGCCTCTTGATTTCACTTAAGGAACTGACTCAAGAGTTAGTGATTTTTCCCAAAAATAAGCATTCACAACTTTTTGCTCCCTAGAAAAAATTGAGAAGTCAAAAACCATGTAGAATCCTGCTCTCCTCCTGCTGAAGTTGAAAGCAGAAAGATTTCAGTCGACAGGAATTTGCTCCCAGGTCTGGCCCAGGCCAATGCCTACAACTAACTTCAGAGGACCGCCAAGAGGCTCCCATGGGGGTCAGGCAAGGGCATGTTTCCTGGGGTGCCAGCTGCACGCTGTCCTCTACCCACTCTGCCCAAGCAATAGCACAGAGGTCTCTGCGTGGACACAGGACGGAGCGGCCAGTACAGTAAATGCTTGATTGAGTTTGCATTTGTTTTCAAGACTCGCCATTTGGTGTCCATTTCACCCCACACATGGTTTGTGCATGATTATGTTTCAAGGAGTCCTGAAAATGCACTTTCCAACATGGCCTGTTTTTTTGTATATAATTCAGCAGCTGTGGACAAAGTGTCTGCTGCACACAGCTGTGGGGTTTGGAGCTCTGCTCACAGACGGACAATAGGAAGCCAGCCGAGCACCACAGTGGTTATGTGAGGGGGAGAGGAGGAGGAAGAGTAAGAATTTAACTCTCCTTGACATGCTCTTATGTTTTACACATTTTTAAACAGCGACCATGTCCTGCGCATGTATAACCAGAGCCAGGCCTCGCAAGGAGGACCTCTACAGGGAAGACCCGCCTCCCTGCAAGGGGAAGGAGCTGGCCAGGCAGCCCAGAGAAGTGCGGAAACACCAGCCCTCTGAATTACAAATGCTTCAAAAACTGCACAAGGTGACAGTTATGAGGCACCCATCAGTTTGCCGGACGTGTGTTAACAAATGTCATGGAGCCCGGCCTGTAGCCACGTGGCCTCCCAGGGAGGTGCCAGCGCCGGGCATGGACAGGGGTCAGGAGATGGTCATCCTAGTCACTGTGAGCCCCGCACAAGACAACTCGACATTTTACTTAAATTACAGTCAGAATTGGCTGCTCCTTTACTGCTCTTTATCTTAAAAGTCATATCTACTGGAAAGCATCCATCTCCCACAAACTGTACACCAGGAAAGACCCTGCCCTACAGCACACAGCCACATCCCCGTGTGCTACCGGACCCTGCACAGCAGTCAGTGCCACAAGAACCTCTGACCATTCAATCACACAGCAGCACTTTTCCACTGCAAGTCCCCGTGTCCTCTGTGGCAGAGAAAAGAGCAGTCACTCACAGAGCCACACCTCACACTGGAAAGCTCTGTCACTGCCGGCAACCGAAACCACAGTGCTCTCCACCGCTCCCCACACACACTGGAGAGCAGGGCGGCGAGGGGCTCTCAGACCACTCACTGTGCTAGTGCACCTGCCACGCCTCCTCCATAGACCCCAGATTGGGGAGATTGGGGCTTGATTTAAAAATACCCCAAGCCTCCAAAGCTGCTGGTTAACGCTCCCTAGAATCTGATATAAGATGGTAAACCTTATTCAGATTAAACAAGTTATAAGAAATAATGAGAGTGTGAAGTAAATTTCTGGTGAAAATGCAGCTGACCCTTGAACAACATGGTGGGCAACAGGTTAGGGGTGATGACCACTGAAAATTGCTTATAATTTTTGACTCCCCAAAAACTTAACTGCTAATCGCCTACTATTGACCAGAAGCCTTAATTAACACATACTCTGTGTACTGTGTGTGCTACATACTGTCTTCTTACAACCAAGTAAGCAACAGAAAAGATAAGGAAGTACTTTTAACAATATTTACTGGGGGGGAAAATCTGCATATAAGTGAAATGGCACAGTCCAAACACTATGGCTTAGCACATGCATGCACACCGGCACACGCAGAGAGGCTGACTTCCCCTTCCACCTAGAACCACACAGTAAACCCCACATGACCATTTTAAGAACTATTTTTTGCTACTAAATTTTGCCAACAATCTGCTCAGCATTCTAGCAGATGTTTCTGTTTCAAACCTCTGGGAACTAGCTGGACCTGTTTTCTTCCCCATGTTAAAAATAAAGAAATGGCCCAAATGTGGCCCCAGAGAAGCTTCCCTCCCCCACCCCCTGACTCTCCTCCATTTATGTGACTTCCCCATCCCCTCTCAAATCTCATCTTTTCCACTAGAAGATGTTTCCAATTATGGTCCATTATGTTGCCAAGGATGACATCATTCAGAGGTGTTTTTATTTTGTTTTGTGTTTGTTTTTTTTAAGAAGATGCTACTGTTAAGTTACTTGGAGACCATCTGCAACCACTTAGCCCACTATTGTGCTGGGTCTTATGAACCCACAATGTGGTTGCATTGTCACAGGAGGGCAATTTGCTCAAAATGATTCTCCAAACACAACAATGCTCTTCGACTGGCAGGGGCAGGAGTCCCTGACTGCCTCCTCCCAATATAGCTAAGTATGTGTGTGACCCCATCTTACCTCAGTAACATCCATAACCTTGATGGCCGCCAGCTGACCTGTTTTAACATGTCGACCCTGAAAAACAGAGGAAAGAAAGATAATTGGCACCACTGTTCTGCACAATCACTAGGACGGAATGGTTGGTGCTTCAACAAATCAGTTCTTCCATATTTCCCCCCAAAAAATAATGATGAAATAGACCATGCTTTCCAATAGAACAATATTGTTACTAATACCAAGGAACCACATGTGATAAACAGAATTGAAACAGATGAGTTTTGACAAGTTTCTCCTTTTTTTCCCAGGGTTAAATTTCTGTATTGTTACTTCTCAACCCAAGCAACTTAAATGTGTTCTTCTGTAAATCAGGTTGAGCACTCAAAAAGAAATGACAGAAAAAACACCTCCAATGTGTACTGCTGGAAATGACTGACAGTCTCTCTTCCCCGTGGCGTTCCCAGTGCTTGACTTCACAGGAGTCCATCTGAGTCTTCCTGAAGGCTCCACACCCGCAGCTCCCGTGGAAAGGCTGGGAGTCCCCCACAGAGGCGGGGCTGGGCGGGGTGGGGCGGGGAAGGAGGGCACATGCAAGCCTTGTCGCAGCTCTATGGTAATTCCGGACCAAGAACCTAAAAATGCACCGTGCACTTATATCCCCAGGTATTTCTATCTTTTTAATCTTTACTGCTGAGAGTATCACACGGTCCCCTTCCGCCCCCACTGTCACTAGTGTTTCACATTAGGTCCTTCTCCGCTCACCGGTGCAAGGCTACTGGGTCAGTTCCTGTTCCCTCCTCTCTGCACCCTCTGCCCCAGTCGGTCATTTCCCAGCGGAGCAGCAAAGAACCGGTGGTGCCCCGAGCACCAGCGACTTGACAGCTTGGTGAGGAACTGTCCCCGGCCTGCCACCACGGCGAGAGCCCTGGATGGAGCACTGGGACACTCGAGCTTGAGCCTAAGGAACACTCTCCCTTTATTCTGGAGAATTCTGGAACGTTTACATAGGAACTCAAGTTATAACTGGGTCAGAACACCAACTTATGAAAAGAAGCCATGGTCACGGGGGGCCCTGCAATGGCCCATAACCCTGCAGTTCACGGCAGGACAGGTGCCCGGATAGATGCCACTTACAGGCAACCAGCGCCCACACACCCTCAGGCCAGGCCCAGGGCTCCCCAGCTCACACCCCCTGCAGGCACTGTGACTTGGCCTTCCCCACAGCCGCCCTCCTGTCTCCTGCAGTGTTGCCCTTGTGAGAGGGGCCCCATCAGTGCAGATCTGCAATTCTGTTTGAGGCACCAGGGAGATCCAGAGCCAGACACAGGGAACCCATAAATATCTTAAGAGATTGTAATTACACATGTCAATACAGTAACCAATAATAAAACTTAGCTTCACTTCCTGGACTTTCCTTTCCTGTCACAAACCAGAAAAGTCAAGCAAAGAACATACCAACGGAATTCTTTACACACGTGAACACACTCTGAGTCCCCACCCCAGGCTTCCCAACAATGACAGCGGGGTTCTGCTTATTCCCATTTCCCACTAGAGGCCCAGCACACAAACTCAAGCACACGTGGGGCCCTCGGCATGGCCTGCAGGAATTGGGCCGAAACCAGCAGTCCAAGGTCACCTGCCACTCCCGCTCATCCCAGCCCCGCTGTGCCTGCGGCAGGCTCGCACCCAGTCAGTCCTGGTCGGGGAGGCTCACGCCCCCATAGCAGCGCTAACCAGCCATGAGCCCTACGCCTGGCACCCATCCCGGCGAGGAGGGTGGTCCAACGCACACGATCGACCCTCAGCGATGGTGGTGGGATGCCCTTGCCGGCCGGGACCAGACCCATCCTGCTGACATTCGCATCGGCTGTTGGGAACCACCTGGCAGCCGCTTTTATAGGGTTTCTTCCTTGCAGAGTGTCTAGGGAGGGAAGTGACCACTGTGCCCAAGGACAACTTCCAGGAGGTGGGTGGCGCTGGTCCATCGGTGCCTAGCCCATTCTCTGGGGATTAAATCTGCAGGACTACTGAGGAGGGAGTGACTGCCGACAGGCAGGTGGGTCACTGGGAGGACAGGCAGGTGGGCCACTGGGACGGGTCGGTCAGCTGAGCGGCACTCCCACTGTGGGAGCGCACTGACCACCAGGGGGCAGCTCCTGCATTGAGTGTCTGCCTCCTGATGGTCAGTGTGCATCATAGCGACCAGTTGATCAATGGTTCAGTCGCTTAGGCTTTTAAACAAACATAGATTAGAGGTCCAGTGCATGAGATCTTTGTGTGTGTGTTGGGGGAGTGGGGCGGCCAGGAGTTGTCCCTCAGCCCAGCCTGCACCTTCTCCAATCTGGGACCGCTGACTCCTAACCATTAGCCTGCCTGGCTGCCTGATTGCCCCTAACCACTCTGCCTGCCAACCTGATAACCTGCAAGCCGCTCCCCTCCCGGCCTGATCGACACCTAACTGCTCTTCTGCCAGCCCGATCACTCCTAACTGCCCTCCCCTACCAGCCCTATTGCCCCCAACTGCCCTCCCCTGTTGGCCCAATTGCGCCTAAATGCCTTCCCCTGCAGGGCTGAGGGGACTGAAGGACTAAGGCTGGATGAGGCGGGGCTGAGGGGACTGGGCACCACCATCTTGTGGGGGCGTGGCAGTCAATTAGCATATTCCTTCTTCATTAGAAAGGATAAATTTTCTTCCAACAAATACTGGAGATCAGAAAACTTTTTCTTTCTGCTTAGTTTAACCTAAAACAGATTCAGAGGCATGGAAAACCCATGAGGAGGAGCATAGTATGTGACAGAGAACATCCAGGACAGAAAACCAATCGCTCTCTGTGACAGGAAGCAAACACCACAATGGGGCTAGTGGCGGAGGAGGCTGCCAGACAGGGTGTGGGTCCCTTCAGATCTAAGCTGCAAAGGATCCTTGCCCAATGCCAGAGGGACAAGTGTGAGTCCCCACAGGCCAGGGTGAGAAGCTGTCAGAGAACTGCACCTACTCTCTCCAGACACGGTCCTCCGCTGCCCAGTCCGGAGGAACGTCTCCTTCGAGGTGGGAAGAGGCCCTCCTGGTGACCTGACTGGTCACTCCTCATTCCACCCAACATGGAAGCTTTGTTCCCTGATCTTAATGATGTCAAAGCGGTCCTTGTTTCTTTAGAGACGGAACATCTTAGCTAAGAGGCTGTGGGGAGAGTGTCAGTTTTTCTTTTCTATGAAGGAAGGCAAGCTCAGTCTCCCTTTCACCTGTAATGTGCAGGCCTCACATCCACACAAGACCCAATATGAGGCTTCAGTCAGTGACACAGGAACCCATGACTGTCTTATCCAGTCTCTGGTGATTCCTATGCATTCCAAAGATTTCCGTGCTTACACAAAAAAGCACAAATTAAGTTTTCTCATCCTTTTTTGGACTATATAGTACTTATTAAAATAATATATGCACTTGTTTTAGCTGTGGTTTTGGTATGTAAAGGTTAAATTTGTAACAAGTAAATTCTAACAAAAGTCAATTACTATGTTTATCATAAAGTCATATAACTTACATTCTAATATGTTCCTGAGTTCAAAGGACAGGCAAGCCTGATTCAACAAAATACTTGATTTTACAAAAAGAAAGTAGCCCCAAGAGCTAACAGGGCACACATCTGCTGGCTCAGCCAGCCCTGGTGCCAATTCTCTCTCCAGGATGCCTCGCTCACCACCTTTCATAATTTACCCTAAGAATTCCATTGGGCACCTGAAACCCAATGTTACTAACCAATGTTACTTGCAATAACTTAAATATTATATATATATATATATATATATATATATATATATATATATATATATATAATTTTCTTTTTTCTTATTCCAACTAGGCCCGACTAGAGTGGCTCAGTGATTGAGCATCACTCTATGAACCAGGAGGTCACGGTTCAATTCCTGGTCATGGCACATGCCTGTGTTATAGGCTCAATCCCCAGTAGAGGGTGTGCAGGAAGCAGCTGATCAATGATTCTCTTTCATCATTGAGGTTTCTATTTCTCTCTCCCTCTCTGAGATCAATAAAAGTGTGTGTGTGTGTGTGTGTGTGTGTGTGTGTGTGTGTATTTTTTTTTTTGAGGGGGGGGGTTGGGAGAATCCAACTGGGAAAGGGGGACCAACAGGCAGAGCAGGGAGGAGGATTTTTAGGGCAGTGAAACTACTCTGTATAATACCGTAGGGATGGATATTTGTCATTATAAATTTGTCCAAATGCACAGAAGGTGCACAACATCCAGAGTGAGCCCTACTGCAAACTACAGACTTCAAATGATGATAATGTATCAATACAGGTTCATCAAGTTCAACAAATGTACTCTGGTGGGGGATGTTGCAAATGGGAAGGTTAGATGCATGTATATATGGGAAATCTCTGTAACTTCCTCTCAGTTGCTGTGAAACCTAAAACTGCTCTAAAAACTAAGGTCTTTAAAAACTTTTAAAATTCCAGTCCACTCCCCCTTATATTTTCTATTTTAAGAGCAATTATAGTCCCTGTATGACCCTATGGCCGAGTGGCATGTGCATAGCACTCCATCCACTGGCCACTCTTCCTAAGATCCTACGCTCCCCAAAACAAAGACCAGCGTTAAGGGGTTCTGCACTGTAAACCCCCAAACCACAGGCCCGTTAGGCTCTTTCCCAAAAGGAAGTGCCTGCAAAAGCCCCAAAATCCAACTACCGGGAAGCAGGTACCAGGCACACTCCCGCCGCAGAGGAGCAGCAGCCCAGGCCCTGGGGGAGAAGACGGGCAGGCGTGTGGCGCTGCCCTCACCCTGTCCTCCAGCCCCAAACCAAGTGTGAGAAAGCAGGCTCGAACTTGTGCCATTTTACCCTACAACTACTATTTCTTATTATAGTAACATCTGTTTATTGGCTCTTCCTCCCTTCCGTGACCGGAGCTTGAGATCACCAAGACTTGCAATTTAATGAGAAGACAGTGCTTGTCTTCCCTTAAGTTTAAAATCAAAGGCTTCCACATAAAGCTGGGCCTTTCTTAGGCCAGAGGCACCTTATCTGGAACACTCCATTTAAGGAAAATCATGTCTCAACGG